TTAATACACTTCCTAGTTCAATCCTAAAGTCACATGACATTCAGACAAACCCTACAAGCTTCCTTTCACCCAACTCACCTCAGTACTGCAATGTGCCTTGAGCAGGTGCCTAAACTCTACTTCACTGATCCATTTCTACATCTAGCTCTTTTCAAGTATTTTATGTACGAAGGCCAAAGTTTTCAATTCTAGCCTTTTCATGATAGTTCTCTTTAAAGGACTAAAGTTTTCCATAATGCAGACTGGACAGTGCTTTGCATGAATTCAAGAGTTTGTCTTGATAGATGTGCTCAGTAACTCACACTATGTTCATATGTTAAGTGATGGTATTATTCAGCAGTTAAGAACAGTAAGTACTTATATTACTGCATAGCACGTTTAAAGAGCTCATATCAAATTTGGCCTCAAGTTTGGGGTTTTTAAAAGGCTATCAGACAATTCATTTTCTCATTATGGCTGAGAAACAGCTCATAGAAAACAAAAAGTTAAGTTAAAACACTGCATTACAAAGCACTCAAGATCAGGAAATGCCAGAATTAAGATTACCTGTACAACCTTAAATCAACCCACTTGCGCCTGTGCATTAGAATGCCATCCTAACTACATGATCACATTTTTCCACAGGACCCCTGCCTCTTTCAGTGCACAGAACAAACAGTGCTCACTTAATGAGCAGCTATTTTGTTAAGTGACTAACATCCATTCTGTGCAATTAATGGGGCAGGGGTCCTGTGGGGGAAAAAAAGGCATAGCATCATGTAATTAAACGGTAACATAAGATGGGGCCAAATTAAGGTTGTACAGGCAACCTTAGTTCGGGCATATCCTAATTTTTAGTTCTTGACTTTGCAACTTGAATGTTCTTTTAGTGAGCTGCTGAGCATTCCTGTTCTTTACATACCAACCCATTTTAGTGTCGTTTGTGAGTAGTTTCCTATGTTCTTTAAAAAAGCAAAGGTTTTTCGTCCCAGTCTCCTTGCCCAGTAAGTCCTAGTCTCACCCTTCTGAACCTCCCTTCTTGGTTTGTCTACCCAGCCAGTCCCAGTTCTCCACCTGCACCCCAGCTCCTGATCAGATCTGTTTTCCCTCTCCCCTTGTTTCCCCTGCCCCACTGATTCTCAGTCCCAGTCTTCTTGCCTAGATCTTCCTCTCCCATTCCAACCAGCCTCTAGTCCTACTTTGCCTTCCTCCACACTACTTGGGCCCGGCAGTGGCATCTTTGAGACCAAAGGCTCCCTGTTCTCAGTTCAGACGTCCAGAACCAGCCTGGCCCACAACAGCCCAGGGCTGCAATAGTAGGAAGAAAGTCCTGATTAGCTCCAAGCTGGGGCATGCCCAGTGCTGACAGACCTTGGGGAATTTAGTGCTGAAGTCTAAGAAGTCTCTACTGAGCATGTGCAAACTGCAATTTTTCCAAAGGCAGATTTTCACAGGGATGACAAAAAGCACATTACTGACACAAAGGCCACCTCCCTTCCAAGTTTCAAGTCACCGCTCTAAAACATGTGGGGTGCAAGAGCTATTCTATGAAAAGGTTGCCAGAATTAAAAAACAAAAAAAAAAAACAACAAACAAACAAACAACATGGGGAAAATACATTTCCCCTCACCTCGTTCAAGAAAATTCCTGCACTATTTTGGCTGAATAGTAACAAAATAATTAAGTTTGAGGCAGAAACCTGGCATGAAAAATTTCAGCCCAAACAGTATGGCAAAGTTATAGCAACTGAAAACAGGGTCTTTCTATGGGAAGTGTCAGGCAACCTTAACATGGGGCTGGTAGCAGCACTTATATAATTCAAGACCAATAGAAATGCTTGTGATTTTTTTACTCCAGTACTATTTAAAAACACTGCAGAGAAATGTTTGTTTGCAATCCATACAGGCTACAGCTTTGATAATACAGGCCAGCCTGATTGCAGAATTGATAAGAGTGACTAAACCAAAGTGAAACTAGTTTTTTACAAGCTCTAAGCTGAAATGGCTAGAGGCACATAGCCTAGGCAGTGAAGTTAGATTGAAAATTCCCCGATTTTAATCAATCGTTCTTGGAGTCAGCAGTAAGAGAAGCATTTTAAATATGTCTTTAAGCCAATAGGGTCCTTTTAGCAATGCATTCCATTCTGGACTGCTGACACTCCACCTCTTAAATCCTTTAAAAAACTTACCTCTTTCACAATGTCCACAATAAGTGACTCAATATTCACTCTTTTTTAAAGAATTAATTTTAAACTTTACTTAAACCACATAATATGCACATGCCTAAGCTTGGTAACCATGCGATCATAACCTGGTTACATTAATAGCCTCCTCACTCCATCTTTTCCACATCTGCCATCACCCCTACTTGCTACAGGGAGGGTAGGGACTGAATTTCTTTTGGGTGCTATAAAAAAAACAGCCACTTACCACTATTTTCCTGTCACCGCTGGAGTTTGTTTTTTAGGCTTAAGCGTGAAATATAAGATGATCATGGCAATGCTTGCATATGTAGCTATTACATACTAGAAAGAAAAAAGAAAATTAAACTTAGATGCCTTCTAAGGCACCCTTGAAGTGTGACACTTAAGGGCAAGTTAACTAGTACATACATTCCTTCTGCCTGTCAAGGTGTAGGAATTGAAGTATTTCTTAAAACCAGTGAACTTGTACTGTGTTTCAGAGTCGTGTCCTGCCATGGTTGCTGGTCCTAGATGCAATGAAGGACAAGTTAGTAGGTCTATATTCAGGTGTATCTGCTGGATAATTCAGCTGATGACTCATGCAATGATTACTTCCAGTGCTGCCTCAGTAGGTTTTACATTTGGGGCTGCAGTGCTAGCTGTTGAAACTTTCATATATTTAACAGAGCCTTGGATAGATGCAATACAACTAGAGTCCAGTGCACTTAGGATTGCTCTATCTGGAAACAGAAAGCAACCGATTGCCACTTGCTGCACTAAAAAGCCAGGTGCACCCACAACTTCATTTTCTCAACTCATTCCATCCCAGACGCAACAAGAAGCCCATTTCTGAATCACTGGCATGAGACGGAGTTATCTACAAGTTCCTATAAACCAAAAACCATCGTGAATGGGAGGAATTTCACCTCCTCGCTTCCAAGCTTTGCTTCTCGGAGTAAGGCGAAAGCGCTGTTGATCGACACTGGACTGTGGGCAAGGGGACAGCACAGCCACAAGGCCGGGCTGCCAGGTGAATCCAGACCCAGCTGCACAAGGCCTCGACAAATGCTTTTGGGGCCGCTTCATTCAATCCGTTTGTGTTCCACGGCAGCAAGATCCAAATGGATCCCGGTCTTCAGCTACAGCGTGAGGCAGGGCCCGGGAGAGGGGCAGGGCAATTCCCCCCTCCCCAGACACAGAGCGGGATCCCTGTTCGACAGGCCACCCCAGTCCCGGCCCGCGGTGCCGAGCCAGGCCCGCCCAGCCCCGGTTTGGCGTGAGCCGGAGGAGGACGGGATCTGGGGGCCTGGCTCCCAAGCGGAGCGGGACCCTCGGCTGCGCAGCGCACGTGGTTCGCGGGCAGAGGGAGCCTGGGCAGCCGCGCTGGGAATCGCGCCCGAGACAAGGGGCCCCAGGCGGCCCCCTGCGCTATGGCACCGGGCTCCCGGGGCCGCCCTGGTCATCGAACCGCGCAGGGC